TGTAAATAGGATCACAAGTCCACATCTTGTACAGCAATTAACCACTAAAAAGAATATATGCAGTGTATTATTTGTTGAAACTGTACTTCTGATTTGATTTGAAACTGTCTCATTGCTATCTGTTTATCAATAAAACTGTAGAAAAAAAAAAAAAAGAAAAAAGCCAACTGGAAGAAATTTAATATAACCTTTCCTTTTTTTTGAGACAGTGTCTGACTGTAGTCCAGACTGGCCTTGAACTTCCTATCTTCCTACCCAGCCTCCTGTGTACTGGGATAAATCCAGCATTATGGTGCAAAGATGGGGTGAGATAGGGAGGGAAGGGAAGAACTAAACATTAAACCCAGGGCCTTCACACTGAGCTACATCCTTAGGCCTTTTCTGAATTTTTTTTGTTTTGAGATTGAGTCTCACTAAGTTGGTAAGTTGCCCAGCTGGGCTCAGACTCCCATGTGCCTGCTTCAGCCTCCCAGGGTGCTGGGTTCATAGGCATGCAGCACCACACCCAGCTAAATCCAGCTTTTACAGTTCAAACAACTACAAATTATTAGCTGTCTTATAATCATACAGAATAAAATTTATAGTTAAAACAATATTTCTGTTCATTTCAGAGAACAAGTATGATTATCTTCCAACTACTGTGAATATTTGCTCAGAACTGGTGAAGCTTATTTTCTGTGTGCTTGTGTCATTCTATGTTATAAAGAAAGGTGAGTCTTAAGGTGGTACTATATACCTACTAAAAATTGCAGAATCCAAAAACATTAGAACTGCAAGGAACATTTTATTTCATTTAGTCTAGTTCATTTTATATGTATTAGGTACCTGAGACACAAACATAAATGTGTTTTAAAGGTGAAAAAACAAGCTGCAATGGGCTCAGACTCCCATGTTTCCAGTGTCTGCTCATCAGCTTGCCTCTTCACTTGTTTCTGTAATGGGTTCATATACCAAGTTAATTTAAATTCTGAATTTTCTAAATAACTTTGCTGTTTGATTTGAAATGCATTATATTGCAAAACAACTCCTATTTCCTACATGGAAGACAGTCAAAGAGATTGTGTTCCAAGCAGAACTATTACATAGGATTATTAATCTCTCCCTCAAATATACAGTATTAACCTTTTCATTGAATATATAGGCCCTTAGAATTATTGCTTCTCTGCCTCAGTTCCTCAGATATGAGCTCACTACCTCTTTAATCTGTCTTTTCAAGTGAAGTAAACAGAATTTAAAGCATCAAAGTGCTCACCTAAGAATGTGTTGTTGTACTCACCAGAGCATCATAATTGTGCAGATTTTGTTAGTGGAATACATTTCAGTCTGTATAGAGGTTCTAGTTCATAGAATATTTCTTAATTTCATGAAACTCTTGCATCACCTGCAGTGCTTGAACTGCCTTTGTTTGTTCTGCTTTCATTTTATATTTTTTTATAGTATGTAGTTCTAAACCTTTAAAAATCTGAAGCTGAGGTAATAACTCCTGTTTGGATTATGACAAGTTAATTGTCCCTAGGTCCACATATATACATTTCCATTTGCTGATCTCTTGAGAGGGCAGGACAGCATTAAGGCTTAATATTTTTCCTTACTTATTCTAACGTGTTGGCCTCCCTCTTGGTCCAATATTTTCAGAGTAGTGCTGCATGTGTATCTTGAGTCACCTCAAATGATACTTCTGCTGCTTTAAGTTAACAGGTGTTAGGATCATCGGTATTCATAAGGAGTTGCTGATTTTGAGTGGTAGGACCCAGAGAGGAGTTAGAAACAGACTAATAAAATTCTGTGTTATCTTCAGTTCTTTTAACCTAGTCAAATTCGTAAAGCACTTTTTGAAGGATTGCATCTGTAATCAAATGTAAAGTACTTTCTCCAAAAATATAAGTATTCTCATCAAGATTATTTATTCCTAAATTTCTTTCTTTAGAACATCATCAGAGTAGAAATTTGAGATGTGCTTCCTGGAAGGAATTCTCTAATTTCATGAAGTGGTCCATTCCTGCTTTTCTTTATTTCCTGGATAACTTGATTGTCTTCTATGTCCTATCCTACCTTCAGCCTGTAAGTAAATATGACAGAAATGGCATTGAAAAGACAAGAAAGAGAAATGAGTCCCAGACTAATCTTTCTTTTTTGTCATTTTTCTGGATTTTATTTCTTATTGCCCTCACTGTCCTTGCTGAAATTTTCCCAGCATTGCCTGAATCCTGAATTACTGATCTGCTTGCCAGATCCACTCACTGTTAAAGTTAACTGTAGTAAATTTTGCTGTGTGGGAGTTGCTCCCTTGCTGACAGATCTGAAGCCAGCTCTTTTTGTGTCACCCTAATCAGGATCCTTATTTTCTGAGTCATCCTATGGCCAACTTCTACTCTAAATCTCAGCATCTAGGACCTCCAAGCAGACTTGCATGATTAACTCAAATGATTACACACTCAGTGGACCTTTCTTATATCTGTTTTAATGTAGTTTATACTTTTTAGTTGTGGTTTTCTTCTTTTAATCTTAGCATTTAACCAGCAATTTCTTTTGAGAGTAGGAGTACATCCTCCCATTTATAAAAAGCCGTGTATCACTGATAATCTTATCTCTCTTGAAATCTTTTGTGTCAGTTTGGAAAGAATTAGTAATCAGAATTGGAGTTAGTTCCTCAACTGTTACTCAGTTTGTGTCATTTGTATATTTCCCCCTTATATTTTATAAAATGGAGACTTTTATTGCCTTTATTACCAAATGTATTCTCAGCTTCATTGAAAGATAAAATTAGCCATTTTGATTATTTTTATCATGACCGGTCATTTATGTGAAATCCCGTAAGTATAACCAAATCAGTTTTAGAACAGGATGAGAAGACTACTATAGGAAATAGGAGTTTAATACTTTTTTAGAACTTGTGTAATTAACCAGGTGCCAACTGTAAGTTTGAGATACCCCATCTGAATAATAATGCAATGGCAATAATAATAATAATGATGATGATAATGGTAATACAGGTGAAAGTCAGGGACCTGGGCCACTAGATCACTTGAGATTCTTTCCAGCCATATGATCCATATTGGCAATAAATGCCCAGTCCATCAGACTGTGTCCTCTCCTAAATTTTTGTTTCCACCTTCCTTGTATTCAACAGACATAACCATTAGCATTTAATAAACATTATTTGTACGTCTTTGAAGTACATGTATTTTTTTTCAGTCATCTTGGGAAGTTGGTACATGTACATAATGGTACATAATGCAGCTTATTTCTTTTTCTTATCCCTAGTCCCTCTCCCTTTCTCCCTGCTCCTCTAGTTCCCCCTTTCCCTTTTCCATTCTTGTTGATATTATTCTTAGTTTATGTTTATGGCATCTAATGTCCATACTCAGTGACATTATTAGGACCTTGTATGTTCCATGTCTTTGGCTGTATATTTTTTGGGTCCAGCAGATTACCTTTATATTTATACTCCTTTCTGCAACCCCAATATCAAAACAGAATTGCAATTTCTTTTTCTTTCATATTTATTACTTTGTTCTGTCTAATTCTATACAGCTTCAGATACTATAAAACATGTGGAATACTCTGTATATTTCTATTTTGAATCTATTTAAGGAATTATAATTTTGGGGCAAAGATTTTGGGACAAAGATCAGATGTTTGATTTATTCATAGTGTTACATGGAAAGAGTTTGCAGAGTTCTTCAAGCTAGCTACGCTAGGTATATTTGCACTGCCCTTAATGTTATTCTGAGTCACTACTTCCCTACTCCCTTCAGCCACTTTTCTCAATCTTTTTTTATTTTACTTATTTCTTAACTGGGGGTTTACAAGCCTTGTCTTGCAGAGAAGTATACTGAGAAAATAATTTGGAGTCACCCAACACAAAGAAATGATGAATGGTTAAGAAGGTAGCAATGTTAATGACTTTGACTAGATCATTATACAAAATATACCTCTATCAAATTATCACACCTTATGCCCTATAATAGGTACAGTCATGTGTCATTGCAAAGTTTTCACTTTATAAAAATTTCAATAGAAAAGCAGCAATGTTGTATTATTGGAAATATTGTTTTATGGTATTTACTCCTTTTTCTTTAGCTGAATATTAGCCATGTTTGCTGCTATAAAACTTAATACTCCTTGGAGTTTAATCAACTTAAAATGATAGCAAAGAGGTAGGAAGAATTTGTGCTATGAATTATTAATATTGCCAGGTTCAGTTATGGAGTGCAGTGATAAAATTGTACACTTTCTCATAAAAGTGTGCACATGTTCAGATTAATATGTGAAATATGACTGAATTCACAAAAGTCACTGTTAAATGTGGCTAGTATGTTTCTAAGTGTTTAGAATAACTTGAATCAACCCAAAAAACTGTCAAATATGATTTTAGCTTTGAGTTACATCATTTCAAAGAGGAAAAGTCATTCAACTTTTACGACAGTAAAGATACTTAAAAATTTGCCTAAATTTTCTTCTGATCTAAATAAGCCTAACAGTATTGCCCTCTGTTTACCCATAGAAACTGTGTTTATGAAATAGTTCGGGAGCTTGCAAAGTTGCTTCACAAGCATGGACACTGTTATTTCTAGACCTAAACCTTTAAAGTGTATTTAATAAGTATTTCCAGAACTACACATACAGTGTATTTATGCAATCATTGCCTGAATTTAAGCACATATTTTCAAACCCTGCATAATTATTTGATCATATCTGTGTAAATTTAACAAGAAGTAAAAATGGAATTTGATCCTCTAGTGAAACAGCTGCCCTAATAACCCCCCTGGTCTTGACTAAAAAGCTTTTTTGTCAGATGAACTAGTAAGCTGGGAGATTTCTAAGGTCAGTACTTTGTTTGAATTGTAACTCTGTCTTCTCTTTCTTTCTAGGCCATGGCTGTTATCTTCTCAAATTTTAGCATTATAACAACAGCTCTTCTATTCAGGATAGTGCTGAAGTAAGTAACTCGATGTGAAAGCATGTATCATTCTTAAAAATGGCACAGCCTGTTTCTACAGAGCACTGAACCCTCGGAATCCCAAGGCCAGGATTTTGATCCTAATTGATGTGTCTTGCATACATTGTTTACCCCACCTAGAATCAACTCCAAAACTAGCCTGTCTAAATCCTCTGGGATCAGATGTATGAAATGTCTTGAGCAAACCAAAAAATAAGATAATGTATTGGTTGTTGTAATTGTTATTAATTTTTAGTGCCAAACTTTCAACACAGAATTCACTAACTGTTTATCCCAATGTCAATACACTAATAGGAGCCAAGAGTTTCCTAAGCTATTTAATTCCTGTTTTGGAGTTTGAAAATGATAAAGTGTAGCAAATTCTTTGTTGAACTACTTGAGATAAGTACATTCTTTAAGCTTTAAGCTACCCATTATAGTAAATCTAGTTTAATTTTAAACATTTAATGAATTATTAAAAAATTTTAATCTTAGGGTAACTAAATTCAAATCTATTTATACTATAAATTTTAAATGTTTAGTTTTAATTTGCTAATTATAATTATACATTGCTAGTTTTAATAATGAACATTGATAACTAAATCTCAAATTTTTTTCAGATACTGTAACTCTTATTTTCAAAGCGGTACTGATACTTTAATGTGTTTGTTTTATTGCTAACATGTCTCTATTATAAATTCTTGAAAATAATTATATTGAACAATAAAACCTTGTTTTTATTATTTCTATTATTGTATATTTTCTAAACTGTCCACATTTATCTGACTCAGAAATCAGTACTGAAGTGCCTCTGAATTATAGAACTACAATGATGTACTAGGAAATCTAATATTGTCTTTTATGAGCATGGCTTTTTTTATTAGTACACATTTGTAATACAGAGTGTTTACATTCCTTGTGGGGTGTTGATACATCTAGGTACTATATCTTAATTCCTTCTTTTGTCCCCTTTCCCTTCCCTTGTTTCTCTTTCCCTCCATCTTTTGATCCCTTTTCCTGTTGAGAAAGCTATCTCTCTACTTCCTATTGTCTTTTATTCTTCTCTTTGCAGGTATTTATGCTTTTGAGTTTCTCATATAGGAGAAACCAGGTGATATTTAAGCTTACGTTAACATTATTTTACTTAACATTATGATTTCAAAGTACTTCCATTTTCCTATAGAAGACTCCAGTTTTTCTTCCCATATAGCAGAGTAGTACTCCACTGTGTGTAAATACCATGTTTTCTTTATCTGTTCTTCTGTTAATGAACAAACAAGCATCTTACAAAATTTAGCCATTATGAATTGTGCAGCTGTATATATGGACATGTATGCATCACTGTAATGTGGTATCTTTAATACTTTGGAGAAGATACCCACAAGAGGAAGAGCTGGGTCAAATGGACTTTCTAGTTTCAGTTTTTCAGTGACTCATCACACAGATTTTGATAGTGGTTGTGCTAGTTTATATTCCTACCAAAAATGTAGAAGCACTCCTTTTCTCATCTTCACTAGCATTTATTTGATTTCTTGATGACCACTATTCTCTCTGGGGTAAGGAAGAATCTAGTGTTGTTTTAACTTGAATTTCTCCAATGGCCAGTGATATTGAGCCCTCCTTCATGAGTTTATTAGGCATTTGCACTTCTCTTATGAAGTATCTGTTCATTTTAAATTTGTCATTTTTTTAATTGAGTCCTTTATTGGGAAAGTTCTAATGTTTTTATTTCTTTATATGTTCTAGATATGAGTCTTCTGTCTGAGTGGGGACTGGCAAACTTTTCTTCCCATTTTGTGAGTTGTCTTTTCACTCTGCTGGTTGTGTTTTTGTTGTGCAGCATCTTTTTGTTTGATATTCCATTTGTTGATTCTTGGTATTGTTTTTTGTGCAGCTGGTATTCTGTTCAGAAAGCCTTTGCCTAAGCCTGGGATTTCAAGAGTGTTACCTATTTTGTCTTTGAGCAGGTTAATGTTATAACATTTAGTTTTGTTCATGATGAGAGCGATACATGTCTAGGTTCAATCTTCTGCATGCGGATAGCCTGTTTTCCCAACACCATTTGTTAAAAAGGCTTTTTTCCTTCAGTGTTTCCAGGCCATGTCAAAAATCAGATGTGCTTGGAGTTGTAACTGCATCCTCTACTTTTTCCATTGATCCTCCTGTCAGTTTTTTGTGCTAGTACCATGCTGTTTTTATCATAGAAGCTTTGTACTACGTATAACTTCAGGCCTGGGATTGTGATGCCTTCCACTTTGCTCTCTTTAACCCAGGATTGTTTTGCTGTTCTGGGTCTCATCTGGTTCCATATGACTTTGAGGGCCAATGCTGTTGGAATTTTTATTGAAACTGTGTATCAGTTTTGGAAGTATGATTGTTTTTACTGTTTTTCTGCCTACCCAGGAATAGGTTGGGTTTGTTGTTGTTGTTTTTTTTTTTTTTTTAATTTTTTGAATCCTCTTTGCTTTGTCTTTTCAGAATACTGTAGTTTCCATTATAGAAGTCTTTCACTTCCTTGGTTAGGTTCATTCCTAAGTATTTAATTATTAGTGCTACTGCAAATGATGTTTTTTGTAATGTTTTTCACTGGGTTCATTATTACTGTACAGAAATACTAATGTTTTATCGTGCTACATTCCTGAATTTGGTTATTAGTTCTGAGAGTCTGAATTTTGGGGGTTCTTCTAGGTAGAAGATCATGTCATCTGCAAATAATAATTTCATTTGTTTTCTTTTCTGTACATATCTTTTTTTTTTTTTTTTTTTTTGGCCTAGTAGCTTTTGCTAATGTTTCAAATACTATGTTGAACATTGAGTAGTAATAGTAGGTACTGTTGTCTTGTTCTGATTTTAGAGGAAAAGTTTCTGTTTCCCTTTTAATATATGGGCAGTTGATTTGTCATGTATGGATTTTATCATATTGAGATAAGATGCTTCTGTACTTATTTTCTGCAGTATTTTTATAATGAAAGAATGTTAGATTTTATCAAAGGCTTTTTCTGTGTCCATGGAGATGATCGTGTGATTTTTGTTTTTGCTTCTCTTTATGTGATATATTACATTGATCGATTTGAGTATGTCAGACCATCCTTGCATACGTAGGAGAAAGGCAGTTTGGTCACTATGTATGATCTTTTTGATATTTCATTGCATTCTATCTGGTAATATCTTTTTTTTTTTTTTAATGTATTTGGTTGTTGCAAGGTATCACTATGCAGCTCAGACTCCTGGTGATCCTCCTGCTTTCAGTCTCCCCAGTGCTGGGATTACAGGCCTGCCCCACCACACCCCAGACTCTGGCCAGCTTAGTCCACTATGGGGCAGGACTGACGAACCATGTGGTGGCAAAGATTGAACCTCAGTCCCTGCGCTTGCCTGCCCTTGCCTGTGCTTGCCTAAGCAAGTGCTTTAATCCACCAAGCTATCTCGCCCCTATTTGGCAATATCTTATTGAGGACTGCATCTGTATTCTTCAATGAAATTGGCCTAAATTTCTCTCTTGGGGGGCCTGCCCCTTAGCTCAGTTGTTTAAGTGGCTGTTTCAACAAAGCAGTCAGCCTCAGGTTGCTGTGGTTCGATCCCCACGACTCCAGCCAGGCAAACATGCCCTGAAGGCATTCTGAGCAGTCTAAATAAATAAATAAATAAAATAATTTCTCTTTTTTGGTTGAAATTTTCTCTGGTTTTAGTAGCTTCCAGGAATGATTTAGTACTCCTTCCCTTTCAATTTCATAACAAAGCTTGAGGGGTATTGGTGTTAGAATTTCCCTTTGGTTTTTGTAGAATACAGCTGTGATGCCGTCTGGACCTGGCCTTTGTTCACTCAGTAGCTTATGTACTACTTCTTCAATTTCATTGCCTCTTAATGGATTATTCAAAGGTTTTAAATCTTCTAGGTTCAATTTTGGTAATTCATATGTATCTGTGAATATAGCCATTTCTTTTGAATTTTCTAATTTATTGGCATATAGAAAATTATTTGCAAAGTAACTGTCAGTGATTTTTTATTTTTAACTGTGTCTTGTGATTGTTACCTTTTTCCATTTCTTGCATTGATTTGGTACTTCTTTTTTTTTTTTTTTTTTTTTTTTTTTTGGTGAGATTGGCTAAAGGTTTGTCTTTTGTTTATTCCTTAGAAGAACCAACTCTTTGATTCACTAATTCTTTGGTTTTTTTGTTTTTGCTTTTGGTCTCATTTTCATTGATTTCTGGGGGGGTTTTTTGTTTTGTTTTGTTTTTAATGGATTTAGTACAGGGTCTCACTACACAGATTGGATTTGTCGTGATCCTCCAGTTCTCAGCCTCCCAAGCACTGGGATTACAGGCACATGCCACCACACCCAGTCTTAATCTCAGTCTCATCGTGCCCCAGAGGTGGGGCTGACACGCAGCATGCCAGGGATCAAACCCGGGTCCCTGCATCTGCCTAAGTAATCTATTGAGCTATCTGGCTGGCCCTGATTTCTGTTTTGAGCTTTATAAATTTCTTTCTTGAGCCAGCCAAATAGTTCAGTGGACTAAAGTGCCTGCAAGCAGGCACAGAGGCCAGGGGTTGCATCCCCATGCCTGCTGTGCCAGCCCCACCCCTTGTGCGGGCTGAGACAGCAGTTGAGACTGGACGTGGTGGTGCACACCTGTCATCTCAGCTCTTAGGAGGCTGTAAACAGGCAGATCACTACAAGTCTGAGCTAGTAGTGAGACCCTGAACACCCTGTAGACCCTTCCCTAAAAGTACAAAAAAAAAAAAAAAAAAAAATTCTTTCTTATCCTTGCTTAGGATTTGAATTGTTCTTGTTTTTCTAGGACCTTGAGGTATATCTTTAGGTTATTTATTTGGCCTTGCTTTGTTTTTGTTATGTGGGCATTCACAGCTGTTTCCTTTTAGAACTGCTTTCATTGTATCCTATAAGTTGTGGCATGTTGTACTGCCATTATTATTTAGTTCTAGAAACGATCATATTTCTTCCTTGGCTTCTTCTGTGTCCTGTTGTATACTTAAG